GCTTGGACACTTTTTACGAATCCCTCCTGAACGGATGGCAAAACGGCTACTATTTATTCAACCGACTGAGTGATGACCCCGGGGACGGCTTCCAAGAATATTCGGGACAAGAGTATGGAAAGACTCTATTACAGACTCGAATTACCTTGTTCCGAAACTCAAACGCTGGCAGGATCAGGGACGTTATAGACACCGTCTGAAGCGTCTGCCTCCGCGACCCGAAAAGACAAACGATTATCGAAACTGAACGTCTGACTGTAACCATAAAGCGCCCACAACGAATAGAATGACCACAAATCGCTCACATTCGCCTGACCACACCAGAACACCATGCTACCTCCTTAATGTTCACAGGTTAAAGCTCTGCTATCTGTTACTCGGCTTGTTTATCGAAACACACTGGCGCGAATTTGTTGCTACAGCGAACTGGCAATTAAGAAGCTTTCACGCTGCGCTGGCATTTGAACCCGCGCCTATCAGGTACAAAATGGAAATATTACCAGCAGATCCACTGCCTCCTAAATATACACGGCTCTGAACCTTTGAGATCACTTGTAAAACAAAATTTCAACATGAATGAAAATCGATCGTACAGCATTCAAAGCTGGGCAGAATACAATTACAAAAACCTACCACGAAGGGGAATCCACTTTGAAGCACGCTGTTGCGAGCAAGTTCACACATGTCGCTGGAGCGTAGCCTCCACACCTGTGCTGCGATGCTGTATTCTTCCATCAGTGGTTCCTACAAAAGAAAGCGAACTTGAACAACATCATTTAAATAACCAGTAAAGTGCCCCCCTCGTCCGGAAAGGAAAACGGAAGGCAACTACCACTACAGCAGAGCCAATTGAATGCTAAGACTACAGTTTCCTGTCGCCACGTCAGAATCACGAGAGATACATAAACTAAGAATCGGTGATTCCGCCGCTCAAAGCTATCCGTGTCTCCCGGTAGCACGAATACACATGTAAAACTAAGAAACAAACGCTTCTTCTGAAACGAGGACAAAGGACATTGCGGAAGGCGCAACACAACTACGAAACAACA